TCCTTCCATTAGCCACAACTTTCTTATATCCTCTGTTTTTATTTAAAGTGAAAATGTCAAACGTTGATATGATTCATTTCTTCCAGAAGTATGTAGTCATTTAATGCAGCCTTCATATTTAGAATGCCGATGGTTAAGTTGATGTTTATAGATAGTCTAAAAACTTGATTTCTTAGTATCTTCTACCCCATTTTCCTCCCCTCAGCCTCCGCTGATTCAAGGAAGCCACAGGGTTAAGGGCCAGTCTGTGTTTTCCTTTGTTTCATGGGTTGCCATGGCCAAAGAATTCATCACTTAGTGGTCATCCTTAAGATGGTGAACCTCTCCTTAAGTAGCTAGGCTGTGTTTAGGAAAGCAAAGTCAATCCATCACTGGGTTACCATATAGCCCAACACAGGGGAATATGAATGTGGATATACAGATAAACATGACCAGGTCAACAGATCTCTTAGAACTTCACTGTTCTACCACAAAGAGGTCTCACTTGCCTATTCTTCTGTCAACACACTCATTTCTACAGTAACAATATAAAGGTCAATTTAGGGAACATGAGCCTGGAGGCCTTGGCTTTCCTTTTTTAAAAATGTTTTTATATAATTCCAAGGCAGCCTTGGAGTAGCTGAAGTTGGTCCCCTTATTAGGCCTGTTGGCAGTAATTGCTGCCTCCCTGCTCTAAGAGTTTAACTGTGATTCTTTCCTGAGAGTGGTAATGTAGATGGTTTCATGAAGAAGGAGAGATGTGCTGAAAGACTCAGAATGGGCAAATGTTTCTCCAGTTTTCCATTGGGTAGTATAGATTTGACAGCTAAAGACCAAGAAAGCATAATATCCATTCTTAAAAAAAAATAATTGAACCTATTTTTGCTTGAATCTCCAGATATGAAGCCAAAAAAGTAAAAATCAAGTAATCGCTTCCCCTCCCTACTGCTTACTAGATGAAGTGTGGATTCCCTAGACAAGGTATGTCCTTTATCCTCCTTCCTCCACTGAGGCTTTTTTTTTTTTTGGCACTGACTCAAGCTCACAGATTCTGGTTTGTAACAATAATGAATATCACCCAAATTGCCAACTCTGCTGTAGTGGAGTCCATACATTCAGCTCTTGGACTTGCTGTAGAGATGGTTTAAAAGGAGATGCAGACTAGAGAAGAGTGTCAGAGAGGAGAGGTCTTCCTAAGGGAGATAACACCAAAAACTGTAGAGAGGATCTCCTGAGAGAGCAGACAGCAGAAGGGTGAAAGTGCTCCTCATGGGAAAAGATGTCTAGGAGTATGACATTCCCCAGGACTTGGGAATAAAAGATGGGAAATAACTACAAGGGATATCTGAGAGTAAGGACACAAAGACCCATGAGGAGACACAGATATATAAAGAGAATTTGAGTTGTATACAGACATAGGCTTTACACTTGCTCATAGGGCCAGCACCATACAGAGACAAGCAAGATAAATGGAGACTCAACAGAAGAGAAGAGATTTGGATTCTTGATGAAAGAAGGTGGGGAAGGAGATAGAAAAATGCACCCTCACTCAGATATGGAGAGAGGGTGGCAGGTTTGACCATCTTCACAACTACAAAGGGGAAGAAGTACCAGCATTGTAGAGTACTAAGGAACAACTTGACACTGTCCTTTTAGGATGTGAGTCATGCAGATTGAGAAGGTCAGAGGGAAAGTGGGTCCTAATTAGGGAGTGTTGCTTGACCTGAGGCAGAAGAGAAGAGTTTTATTGACTGCAGAACATTCAAGTGTGAGCCCATTCTATATTTTCTGTTGACTTAAAAATACAGTACCCTATAAATTATATATTCGAGATATTTTTAGTCAGAGTGCTCGTAGAGGAGGTGAGGGCTATTTTGGAAAAGGATATAAGCCAGATTCTGGTGCTCCTAGGGAAAAGCTGAAGTGCAGGCATGAGTAAAAGACAGCTTGCCAGACATTCCTTCCCTCCCACCCACCAACAAGAGTATATCTGTATTTGGGTCCACAGAGTCAAGTGCCAGGATCCAATTAATACGCAGATTACAGATGATTAAATGGTTGATTTCTAGGTACTTAGAATGGGAAATGTTGATTGCTATAGATGACCCTTAATGGGTTCACTAATGACAAGTCATGCCAGACTAATCTCATTTTTTTGAATAGTTACTAGACTAGGAAACCAAAGGAATTATGCAGACATATTGTACCTGAATTTCAGCAAGACATTTAACAATTTTTTCCACAGTGTCTTCATAGACAAGATAAAGGGATGTGGGCTGAGTAATGATACAATTAGGTGGATTCAGAATTGAGTTGACATAATGGATTGATGTCAATCTATGGGGATGTCTGTAGTAGTGTTCTATAGGTTCTTTCATTGGCTTTGTCCCAGTCAATATTTTTCATCAATGGTTTGGATAAATCCATAGATATTACTGTTTATGAAATTTGCAAATGACACAAAACTAGGGATAACTAATGCATTGGAAGACAGAATTAGGATCCAAAATAATCTCAGTAGGCTGAAACACTGAGCTGAATTTAATGAAATGAGGTGTTTTGGAGATAAGTATAACAGGTTTGGGAGAGGAATGACTAGAGAGCTACTCATATGAAAAAAAATCTCTTACCCAAATCTAAGGGATTTAGCAGATTGCAGTTCAATAGTGTGATGTAGCAGCTCACAAAGCTCATTCTATGATTGGCTACATAAGTAGAAGTATAGTCTTCTGAAAAAAGGAGAGTGACTAGAATGTGATGAGAATACCAAACTATGGCAAATGAAGAAGTAGGAATTATTGGAAGACAGGATATTTAACCAGGAGAAGAGAAAACATCAAGGGTAATAGATGAGTGGTCAAAGGATATGAGTGGGCTAAAAAGAACTTGAAGTTACGCATAATTCCTTGAGAAAAAATTTAAGCCCTAATCAGAGAAATGAAAATTAAAGCAAACCTGAGGCATCACCTCACAATACTGTTTTTTAAAAATCACTAAAAATTATAAAATTCAATACTGGCATGACTGTTAGAAAATAGGCAGAAAATATGCTGCTGATAGAGTTGTGAATTGCTGCAGTATTTTTGAAAAACAAGATGATATTATAGAAAAAAAAAATCCTGCAAAACTGTTCAGATCCTTTGTCCCAGTAAAGCAGCCACTAGAACTCTACCCTAAGGATGTTATTGACAAAATCCAAAACTATTCTTAGTGACATAATTTGTAAAAAAAAAAAAAAAAAAAAACCAACTGATACAACCCATGTGTCTGAGAAGTGGACAATGATTAACCTATTTGAGGTAGATGCGTGTAATGGAATTATTGCATTGTAAGAGTTGGAAAATATGAAGACTATAAGAAACTATAGGAAGATGTATGAAGTGACACAATGAAGATCACAGAATCAAACAGTGTATAAGCTGACAATAACTATATAAAAACAACAAGTAACAATCTGGAAAAATACACAGGAGAAGAGGAGTTCAGAATGGTTCATGGAAAGAAATAGGATGTTTGTTTTACTATTTCATTAAAAATAGTTTAGAAATTTTAAAAAAACTAAATAAAGGGATGTGCCATAAAGATCCTTTCAGGCTTTTGCAGGACATGTGGGATATATAAAAAGGCTGGGAAAACAATTAGGAAAAAAGCAGAGACAATGAACCAATTCATGCACAAGGGAGAATGAAAGATGCTTAGAGCTCTAAAACTTGGGAACCCCAAGCTCTGGAGATGTTTTTAATAATTACCAGTCATGTAATTTGTTACCTGGCTTATAGTCTAGCCTTCAGTGATTAAAATTGGGAGGTAAATAGAATGTTTACCATAAGCTGGGGTAAGATATCCACATGATAAGGGGACTCAAACACCTGGAGTGGGTAAAGGAAAGATTAAAGGGAAGATTAAATCTGAACACATTAGCTAGTTTTGTTTTGGTGGTTTTTAGTCATTTTCAGTCATTTGGACTCTTTCTGACCCCATTTGGGATTTTCTTGGCAAGGATGCTGGAGTGCTTTGTCATCTCCTTCTCCAGCTCATTTTACAGATGAGGAAACTGAGGCAAACAGGATTAAATGATTTGCCTAGGGTCACAAAGCTAGTGAGTGTCTGAGGCTGTATTTGAATTCAGTTCTTCCTGACTCTAGGCCCAGTGATCTGTGCCACCTAAGAGGATCCTCTTCTGGTTTGAAAGATGTTGGTGCCTAAGGCTAAGAATCTTATAGTAGGATCATAATAACAGCTACTATTTATATAGGGCAGCTAGGTGGTTCAGTGAATAGGGAGTCAGCCTGGAGTCAGGAAGACCTGAGTTCAAATCCGGCTTCAGACACTTAGTAGCTGTGTGATCCTGGGCAAATCACTTAACCCTGTTTGCTTCAGTTTCCTCATCTATAAAATGAGCTAGAAAATGAAATGGAAAACCACTTCAGTGTCTTTGCCAAGAAAAGCCCCAGTGGGGTCATGAAGAGTCAGACATGAATGAACAACACTAATTATATAGCGTTTTAAGGCTTATAGAGCACTTTACATGTTTTATCATATTTGAGACTCACAACATCCTTGTGAGGTAAATGCTATTATCTCCATTTTAGAGATGGGAAAACTGAGGTTGAGAAAGATAGAGTGACTTGCCCAAGGTTAGAGAGCTAGTAACTGCGAAGCAGGATTTGAATTCAAGGCTTTCTGACTAGTGCTTTCCAGGGTAGCTAGGTGCCACAGTGCATAGAGTGTTGGGTCTGGAGTCAGGAAGACTCAGCTTCCTCAGTTCAAATCTGGTCTCAGATACTTACTAGCTTTGTGACCCTGGGCAAGTCACTTAAATTTACCTCAGTTTCCTTATCTGTAAAATGAGCTAGAGAAGGAAATAGCAAACCACTCCAGCATCTTTGCCAAGAAAACTACATTTGTCCATGGGATTATGTAGAGTTGGACAACAGTGCTCTCCTCCATGGCTGCCTAGACTTCACAGTTAAGACTTCAAACAAGAAAAAAAAGATAGGAGAACTAGAGAGGAGGGTTTTTACTGTTCCAGACAAGGCTTCTACCTTTTGTAAAACAGCCAGGAGGGGAAAAAAAGTATACAAACTTATGATTTAAACTTTAAAAATCATGGGAGCACGTGCTCATCCCTTGAGAAGGGGATAGCCACAGATCCCAGCTGAGCTAGAAACTGGAGATATTGGAGATCAGGCGTCCGGCTGAACAGCATCTAATGGAACAGCATCGATGGAGTCTATGTCAGTGTCTGGCAGCAGAGCCCGCATCTGTATGAGCAGCACCTGGGAGAGACCAAATAACCAACACAATGGAGGACCATAGGTAGAAACAAGGAAAACGGCAGAGAGCAGTTTGATGTCACGGCTAGAAGAGGCCCTGAAATATTGGCATCCCTCCCCATGCGGACCTTGGCCACATATGTTCCCTATGTGTATACCATGTGTGTTCCATATGTATTCCCAATATGTGTGTATTTTTCCAACTGATGTGCCTATTTGTGGGAGAATGTGCCCCAGGTTTGGGGGGGGGATGTTAAAATGTTTCGTGCTATTTTTCCTACTATGCCATTTCAATTAATGCTTTTGATTTGAACTAATTATGCCTTCTGGCTAACCACTAAAAGTAAAAGCATTGGTAGGTAGTAGTGAGTTATGGTTTCAGGGGATGTAGACCTAAAGAGGACCTTGAACCTGGGATAGTTATTCCATGGGGGATGTCTGCCCTAAGTGATGGGGATAGGGGGTGTGGTGGTGCTTTAGACTCTATATATAAATAGTGGAAATTTATAATTTCATGTACATTTGTTTGTGTTGGGTTTTTTTTTTGTTTGGGTTCGGGGTTGGGTTTTTTTGGTGTGTGTATTTGAATGTTTATTTGTATTGATTGTCACTGTTTAGAATAAATAAACAAATTAATTAATAGATAAATGATTAAATTAATTAATTAATGAAGGAAGGAAAGAAGAGGCCATTATCTTTAGATATTTAAAAGGACTGTTACATGGAACAGGAATTAGATTTGTTCTGCTCAGTCCCAGGGGACCGAAGTAGGATTAGTGGGTGGAAATTCTAAGGAGGCAGAGTTCAGCTCATTAGAAAGGGCATATTAAGAATAGAACAGGCAGATCTCATGAGATAGGGAGTTCTAAGGAACTAGATAGAGGAATTCAGGCAGAAGCTGGATGACTCCTTATTGGGGGTAATATAATATAATGGCGGTTCTAGTTTAGAAATAGATTAGACTAGGGGTGGGGAACCTGGGGCCTCGAGGCCACTTGTGGCCGTCTAGGTCCTCAAGTGCAGCCCTTTGATTGAATCTAAACTTCACAGAACAAATCCCCTTAATAAAAGAATTTGTTCTGTAAAACTTGGACTCAGTCAAAAGGCTGTACCCAAGGACCAAGAAGGCCACATGTGGCCTCGAAGCCACAGGTTCCCCAGCCGTGGTCTAGATAACATCTGAGGAACCTTCCAACTCTGAGATTTTATGATTCTTACCAGGTCCTTTTTCCCTTCCTTTGAATTTCAGGGTGGTCTCCATTGTTGTGAATCGAGCACAAGTCCCAGCCAAGTTCAGTGATACTGACCTCCTTCCCACACATTGTGCTGTAGAGGAAGGGGACACATTTTTATCATTTTTTTTTCTCATATATCCCATAAATCTCATCTCTCTTCTCCTCACCTTAGAGAATATGACAAAGCAAGTCAAGTATTAGCAATAGCAGGGCCTGCTGACCCAGCACAGCTGACCTCATGGAGGTGGATGGGAAAACAAGCACAAAGACTTTTCTGGAAAGCATGCTTGTGATTCCATATCAGCCAGGGGTGCAATTAATATGCTGAGGAGGCTAGCATATAGCTAGAGCAAGGAATAACTAGTAGATAGCCAATAAACTGCTATTGGCCTAGAGGACTGAGGATGCCCATCCTGTTAATAGACCTAATTCTCAGCTCATGCTCAGACCAGATTCAGTCCTGGGAGAGCCTGGCCTCTAAAGAGAGGAGCTGGGCTCTTTATGCCTCCACCCTAGAGCTCTGGGGGAAAAAAATCACTAAAAGCTTAGGTTAGGCTCCTGTGTATGGGAGTTTCCCCAAAAGGAAGTAGAAAGGTGCTCAATGTATAAGGTACACCAGAGATTTCCTCCACTCAAAAGAAATGCACAAAAGATTCAAAAGCATGCACTGAGAAAGACTTACAACTTGAAATGGTAGCCCATCTCTTCTATTACAAACTTCAGGGAGGTTGATACTTAAAACATGAGTCACTTTGTAAGACTGGTGAATAGCCATTTTTTACTTTCATCTCATTTCTTCCCTGTCCAGGCAATTCCCCCAAATTCCAAGAACTCTGTCAAGCCAGGTCTTGGCAGTCAAGTTTGGGCTCATCCTTGTCGTGAGGATCACCTTCTCCAAGAAGAATGTAGTTGGAGAAAACTCTTCCTTCTGAAGGTCATCTCTGATTGAGGAATATTGGAGCTCCCAATCTTTTGAACCCAAGATACTGCCTCTAAGGCTAGAAACAAAGGATGGCCAAAGCAGAAGAGGAGGGGCCTGAGGTCCAGGCTCAGAGAAGCATAATCATCCTTACCAGGTGAGTGCAGCCACCATAGCTATGGGGGAGAAAGGATTCCTCATGCTTCACCACTGGAAGGCCCAGAGAAAGAGTTCCATGGCACATATTCAGGAGACAAAAAGAGTGAGAGCTGCAGTTGTCTCTCTTTTTAGTCCACTGAGTAGGCAGCCCTTCTTGGTTCAGTGGTCAAACTTTTTTGATGCAGCTCCCTCCACTGCTGCTTTGAAGGGCCCAAGATACAACTATATCATGCTAAAGTCTTTCGGTGTTCATCTAAGTCCCTCAAAGAGGCTGGGACACTGGGCTCAGTTCTGAGAGTGCTACATGGCATAAGCTCTATCAGTATTATAATTTTTAATGCAACTGATACCCCCAGCTTGTTGGAGGGGGGGTCCTTCTGTGAAAGATTTCCAGGGTGATATGGACAATAACCTCACAGGATGAGAAGCCATGAACAAGTAGCTACCTGTGCCATTAGAGGGAGTGCTCATACAAATGCTGTTACAGTTCTATCAAAGTAATGACATATTGATTTCCTTTGTAACTCTTTGGACTTTATTTAAAAAACATTATTCTAAGAAGGTTTAGGCTTTCAGAGGGGTCCATGACACACACACACACAAAAGGTTAAAAACTCCTTGTATAGAAGGTAAAGAGAAAGAGACCCAGGGCAGAACATTGGGAAGCGCTCCACAGTTAGGGATCATGATGAGTATGATGAGCCAGTGAAGAATACTAAGAAAGAATGATATGACAGATAAAGAGACAAATCACAAAAGATATGTGTCATAAAAATCCAGAGAGGAGAAATTGTCTACAAGGAGAAGGTGATTAACAGTGTCATATGTAGCAGACAGGTTTCAGAAGGATTAGATCTGAGAAAAGATCGCCAGATGTGGCAGTTTAGAGAATATCAGTAACTTTGGAGAATGTAGTTTTAGTTGACATGTTTTTGGATGCTGGATTGCAGGTGAAATAAGAGGGACAATCAGCAAATCAGAGATTTGTCTGAGAAAGAAAGAAAGAATGATGGTAGGGGCTAGTTTTGTTTTTTAAAGAATGGGGATATTTTGACATGTTTGAAGGTAGTATAGGAGGAGAAAGTAAGTGGGAAAAAATCTGTCAACAATGTCTGATAAAGGTCTGATATACAAGCTATGTTACCGATTCAAGCATACAAGAACAAGAGCCATTTCCCAAGAAATAAATGGTTAAACCATATGAACTGGTAGTTGTCAAAGAAAGAAATCTAAATGATGAATAGTCATATGAAAAATGCTCCAAGTCACTATTAAAGAAATGAAAATTAAGACAACTCTATGGTTCTATCTTACACATATCAGATGGCAAAAATGACTAAAAAACAGGAATGTGACAATTGTAGGAGTGGCAGGAAAAATAGATACGCTAATGCAGAACTGTGAATTGATCCACCCATTCTGGAAAGCAATTTGGAACTATTCCCTCAAAATCACTAAGCTGTGCATATCCTTTGATCCAGCAATAATACCACTATGCCCCAAAGAGATGTTAAGAAAGAGGAAAAGGAACCACATATAAAAATATTTATAGCATTTTTTTTGTTGTAACAGAACTGGAAACAAAGGTGGTGCCCATTAGCAACAAATTATAATGTATTAATGCAATAGAATATTTTTATCTATTAAAAATGACAAAGGATGGATTCAGAATGGTCCAATGAATAAATTCATGGGCTTACAGTCTGGCAAACCTGAGTGTCAATCCTTCCTGGATTAATTAGCTGGGTGACCAGGGGAAAGTCACTTAACCACTCTTAACCTAAGTTTCCTCATATGTAAAGTGGGAATAATAATAGCATCTACCTCATAAGGTCATAAGGATAAAAACACATAAGAAGTGTTTTTGCAAACCTTAAGGTACTATGTAGGTGCTAGTTATTTTTATTGCTATTATTATTCAGAGAAACCTGGAATGACTTGTACGATTTGATGCACAGTGAAATATGAAGAACCAGAACACTTTATATAGTAGCAACATTATAAAAGAAAACAATGCTGAAAGACATAAGAACTCTGGTTAGTCCAATGACCAACTACAACTGGAGTCTTGATGATAAAGTAAAGCTACCCACCTTTTGACAGAAAGGTCAGGCTCAAATACAGAAAGAGATATACATTTTTGGACCTGGCCAACATACGGACTAATTTTGCATAAATATAAGTATTTATTATTCCCCCCTCCCCAAAAAAGGAATAGAGAAGAATCTTTGTTACAGTTAGCAACCACCGTGTCTAGGTACAATTAGATCACCATGGTCCAGGATCCCAAGAGCCTCTTCATCTGCCTCTGTGTGTCTTGTTGTGCTGCTTATCTGGAGAAGGTATCTAGGATTAGGAATTGGGAGGGAGAAAAAAAAATGTTTTTGTTCATTTAAAAAATAAATTTAATTTTAAAAAAAACTTTGAAAGACTTCATTACACTGTGATCAGCACAGGGACCAACCATAATTTCATCATACCAATAATGAACCACATTACTCACCTCCTGGCAATGATATATTTATTTTTTGGACACAGCCAACACAGAAATTTATTTTGCTTAACCATGCATATTGGTTACAAGGGTTTTGCTCTTCTTTTCAGTGAAGGCTGGGGGAGGTAAAAGGGAGAAAAATAGATTTTTGTTAATTGAAAAAAGATTAAATAAAAGAAAACACCTTCTTTTTGCATCTCTCCTCTCCTGCTCTCTCCTTCTTCTTCTCTTTCTTTTCCTGCCCTCTTCTTTCCTCTCTTATCCTACCTCCTCCTTCCTCCCTTCTGTAGGAGTGTCTGTGGGGTCTCCTGTGTGCTCTTGTAGCTAAGGGTTTTGTATCTGTGTCTAGGTACGCAATGGCGAGTTCCTTAATGGTGTGGGCACATAAAACAGCAAGAGGAAATCAGTTGATGACTATCTGAGCACCTTCGGCACAACTATTGCTGTCTGCCTGATACTCCCTTCAGAAACCAAGTCCCTTTTCCTTTGGGCATGCCTACAGCAAAGATCAGAAATTGTCTCCAGACAAATAAAATCCCCTAATACTAGGATACCACATAGAAGAGAGATAGATGCTCAGTGATACTCACATGCTTTTGAGTGGAAAATGGCTCTTTCATATTCAGCTTTTATGACCTCCACTTTCAAATACAGAATTTTCACTTCAAGATAACTGTGATAAATGGCTTACACTCATATAAGGTGTCTCAAAAATCTTAGTGCAGTTTAACAGTCAAAATAATCTTTAACAGTCAAAAATCTTAGTGGAGTTTTAAGCTTTAACAACTTAAATTTCCACTAAGATTTCTGGGAGGTCCTACATCACTTTTAAGTTAACAAAGGGTTTTATATACATTCTTTTATTTGATCCTCCTAACAATTCCTATGAGATAAGTACTATAATATCCCCACTTTACAGAGGAGGAAGCTAGTCCTCAGAGAGGTTAAGTGACTCACCCAGTGTTGCACAGCTAATAAGTGTCTGAAACTGGATTGGAAATTATGGCTTTCTGAGTCTAAGTCCAACACTTTATCCACTGCACCACCAAGCTGCTTCCTAGGTTTTTTGACAGAGCATAAAGCAATTTGCTATTGGGCATTTTACATTTCATCATAGCTCTTTACTGTCTAAACAACTCCCAGTCCATGAGATCTGGTAAGATGGCCCAAGTTGGGCCCAACTTTTTCTTGGTGACTGTCTTCTCCAAGAGTGCTTGAATAGTTTCTGGGAATTTATTAAGACTTCCATTTTTCATCTAAGATCAAGGAAGAACAAATACAGAAGAGATAGCCCAAAGTCTAGGCACAGGATACCTGTGTAGGACATCCCAAGTGCCCACAATGTCATGGTGGCTGAAGTGGGAGATGGGGCAAGATGCCCCTTCCCTATCTCTCACTCACTTTAGGAGAAGTGTCTAGAAACAATCCTGATTTTGTAGCTGGAAGGGAAGAGACCCCTGACAATAGGGAATCCCTTCCCCACACTTTAAATAGCCTCTGAGTCATTAGCCCTTCTTGCTTAGCAGCTATTAAGAAGACTCTGTCATCTCAAAGTGCAAACCCTTCATTGCTTAGTTATACATAACTAAAAACAGGCCCCAAAGATCCTGCATGTGAACCAGGTAGGGCAACCCTATGTATGCTCCATGGGGTGACCTTCACACCTAAGTGTCTACAAAATAAATACAAGGTAATTATGGGGGTGGGGGTGGAAAGATCCACTAGAAGGAACAGGAAAGAACTAATATAGGACAAATGTACCATTTGTATTTTGAATAAAACTAGGAATTATAAGATGCTGAGTTAAGGGGTGAACAGAATGCAATCTAGGAAACAAGTACAGCATGTTCAAAAGGACAGATATAGGAGGTGGAAATTCATCTGTGAGGAAACCCAAGAAGGCCAGTTTGGTTGGACTAAGAGGAGTGATGGACGGTAAGGCTAGAAAGATAGGGTACAGCCAGGTTAAGAAGGGCTTTAAATGGCAAATAGAGGAATTTGTATTTGATCCTAGAGGTATTAAGAAATAAAGGAGTAACATGTTCAGATCTGTGTTTTAGGAATTGAGTTTTGTTAGCTGTGTGAGGAATAGATTGGAGTGAGGAGAAGCATGAGGCAGGAAACCAGTTAGAAGGTTATTGCAATAGTACAGGCTAGAAGGGATAAAGTCCTGAACATGGGTGGTATAAAAGGAAAGAAAGGGAAGGATATGAGAGAGATTGTGGAAGTAGAATCAAGAAATCTGACTCACTGGTTGTATCTTTGGAACAAGGGAGGGTGAGGAATCAAGGATGACAATGAGGTTACCAAACTGGGCCACTAAGAATATAGTGGTGCCCATGACAAAACCAGGAAGGCTTGGAAGAAGAATAGGTTTGAGGAGGAAGATAGTGAGTTCTGTTGAATTTGAGAAGTCTCCTAAACACGTAGTTTGAAATGTCAAATAGGCAGATGGAGTCACAGGAATGGACGACGAGAGAGAGATTAGGACTGGATATATAGATCTGGATAGAGATGATACCTACACCTCTGGGAACTTATGAGGCCAACAATAGAGAGTATATAGAGAGATGCCTAAGGACAGAGCATTGGGGGCAGGATATGGATGATGACCCAGAAAAGGAAGATTGAGGAGTAGTCATAAAGGTAGGAGGAGGACCAAAGGGGAGTAATATCACAAAAACCCAGAAAGGAAAGTGTTTCTAGGAGGAGAGGTTGGGCCACAGCATTAAATGCTAAAAAGACCCAAAAGACCCAAAGTCACTTCCATACAGTGATGAGGCATTGGAGTAGGATATTTATAGAGGGAAACTGAAATTTTGCAGGATAGTAATTAAAGTAGGAGCTCTAATATGGTGGTAGTCATAGAACTTTTCATTTAGTATGACTACTAATCAGTCAATGAACAAGTTATTTATTAAGCAACTGATAAACACCAGATGCTGTAAAATGCTGGGGATGCAAAGGCAACAGTGAAATGGTCCCTGCCCTCAGCTACAAATGTGGGTTGAGAGTCATATCCATGTGAGTACCACAAGGAGAGAGATCTCTCATCTAGAGGTAAGAGGTAATAATCTAGAAGTAGTAGGGCCACTGTTGTTCCGTTTCCAATGACCCTTCTGGGAAAGCACAAAATGATAATTACAATAATAATAAATTACACTTTCATAGTGCTTTAAGATTTATAAGGCACTTAAAATACACTGTCTCATTTTACTTTCACAATAATCCTGTGAGGTAGGTGTTGTTCTTATCCCTATTTTATAGATGAGGAAACTAAGGCTCAGATGGATAAAGTGACTTGCCCGTGGTCAATGCCCAGTTGGTGTTGGAGGCAGGTTTCCTAACTCTAAGTTCAGGATTCTTTCCACTATACCATTTACCTCCCAAGTCAGTGGGCAAGAGATTCATTGTCTTGTGGAGTTATACAACCCAGTTCTCTTCAATCAAGTAAACCCTGACATAGTTGGAGAATATCATATGGAAGAGACATCAGCCTTTTTTCTACTTGAATTTGGAGAGTAAGGGGTAGAAGCTTGAGAGAGGTAGATTTTAGCTTACCATAAGAACTTCCCAGTGACTATAGTTATCCAAAAGTGGAAAGCATTGGCTTGAGCACCCATCATTGAAGGTATTTGTGGAGACTGGAGTCATTTGTCAGGGAGGTCAGAGATGAGGTTGCTGCTCAAGGAAGAATTGGACCACATGCCCTCTATAGCCCCTTCCAACTCTAATGTTCTGTGAGTCCACAAAGCCTTACATTCTATATGCTTCCAGTAGCAGCCAAGAGAAAACAATGCGTAAAGCGGGTACTATGCCAATGGGAGAGCAACTTTCACTGAAACATTTCTCAGCATCATTAAGGCTACCGATTCAAACTGCTCTCAAGCTAAAAGAGCCATCACGAAGGTCTTAGAATGAGCAATTCAGTCCTTACATGTCCAATATAGCAGGAGTTGAGAGCAATGGTATGCAGGTAAATGTTTAACAACCAGCTGTCCAGGGGGAGGACACACAACACAAATTATAGTTTTATCTACATTAATAACATTTTCTCTATCACATTCTTAAGTCTAGACAATCAACCTCTGATTCTCTCTCTCTTTCTCTCTCTCTCTCTCTCTCTCTCTCTCTCTCTCTCTCTCTCTCTCTCTCGGGGGGGGGAGGCAGTCGGGGTTAAATGACTTGCCCAGGGTCACACAGCTAGTAAGTGTCAAGTGTCTAAGGCTGGATTTGAACTCAGGTCCTCCCAACCCCAAAGCCAGTGCTCTATTCACTGATACACCTAGCTGCCCCTTAACCTCTGATTCTTACTGTGATTTCTGAGGTGTAAATACAATGAAAATTTAACAATAGGCTCTTAGATACTGGCTCCACCCACTCCTGGCTGAGGGTACAGTCAGTTCTGTTATAATACTTGTTTCAAAAATGTGAATTTGTTCCAACAAAATTAACTTATAAAGGAACATTCTGAGCATAACTCAAATTTCAAGTTCGCTTATACAGGATTTCTTCCTTGAGAAACAGAGAGAGAACACAGAAGATTGCATCACTTCATGACAACTCACAAGCTGTAACCCTTCTATAATCAGCTTCCACAAGCAAACTTCAGGTCTTTTTCAATGTCAGGTGTCATATTCACTGTATACCTTTTGGTCTAGTAGGAACTCTGGGCTGGGGAGAGCTGGTCCACCCTTCCCCCTTCCCTCACCTTCCATGGTGGCCGGTCCTCCAGCCCAGAGCTGTGGCTCACTGAGACTCTGACCCCCAGCCCATTGTTCTCCAGAGCAGCAGCCAGAAGCCAAGGACATTGGACTATTTATTGTAACATTTATGTATTTCTTAACCATTTAACATGTATAAAACTGTACTAGTATTTTTTATTAAATTCCTAACTTTTTAAAAATGTGTCATTGACAAAATTTTTGAGTGCTGTGCCACTAACCCCATCTTTCCCATAAGCTCTGTGCTTTTTGATTGCCCAGTTTTGCATAGCTCAGGGCTTTTTTTTGCATAGCTCAACACATGTCACAGAACTGGCTGTAGGTGTAGTTTAATAGTCATAATAATTAGAGCTGACATTTATATATGACATACTATACACCAGATATTGTGCTAAGTGTTTGACTAACTCATTTGATCCTTACAATAACCATGGGGGGTAGGTGCTATTAATAGCCTAATTTTACAATGGAAGAAACTGAGGCAAACAGAGATTAAGTGACTTGTCCAGGGTCGCACAGCTAGTAGATATTTGAGGTTAGATTTGAACTCAGGTCTTCCTGACCCCAGCACTGGCCCTCTCTCCACTGCTCCACCTGCCTTCCCGTGTTTATAGGATTACAACCTAATCTTTGGTTTCCAAGAAGGCCAGAGTAAAGAAAAAAAGGGCTTAATATAATCAGCAGCCTGAGAGTTCCATGATAAACATTCCAGTACATATAATTAGGAGCACCAGCTCTATCTCTTGCTGCTTGTGTGATTTTGGGTATTTAACATCAGAGGGTCTCAGTTTCCCTCCTCCGTGAAATGAGGGAGCTGGACTACGTAATGTCAAAGGACACCTTGTAGTCTGATTCCGTGATTCTGTGATCATTTTCATCTACAAAGGGCAGTGAGAGAGGGGAGGACAGAAATGAAGAGATGAGATTTTTGCAGCCCTTCATGAGAAAGGGCTGATGTGGATCTGGCCCTAGGGAGAGCAGAGCTGCAATTGATGTTCTGATTTTTCCTACAATGAGCAATCTGTGCTATCCATGGGAACATAGCCGTTATCTTGATGCTCAAACAGGAACCACAGGTTAGATAGCTGGTGGTTGTTTTTATGAGAGCCAGGAGGGAGGTGTTATCATGGTAGTACTGTGGGACCGGGTGTTTTACTAACAGTGACAGAGAGATAATCACACCTTTTCTGGGGATGCTCCTTTTCAGGAGCAAGCATTGTGCCCCGGAATAAGTATCAGACTTGTCAGAAGGCCTCAGTCCAATCCCCAGCTCCTCTGCTTACTAGTTATATGACCTTGAATAGCCTATTTCTTCTCAGTGCTTCAGTTTCCTCATCTGTAAAATAAGGGGGGACTAGATGATATCCGTGGTCCCTTCTACTTCTAAAGGTTTGACTTGGCTAGCAGCCATGCCTACCATGGAAACAGATTAGCACTGTTTCTGCCTACAGGGAAATCCACCCAGGGAACATGAAGAGAGACCTTGAATTCTCTACCCATTCTTTACACTTCAGTCACCAAATCACAGAGTCCCAGAGTTGAGAGTGATCTCAGGCTTTACCTGGTCCAATCTGTACCTCAACAAACATTCCCTCTAGGGATACCCACCTGTTAGGCAATGGCTAAGCAAATTATGGTACATGAATATAATGGAATACTATTCTGCCCATGAAAGGGATAGTTTCAGGGAAACCTGGAAAGACTTGGATCAACTGCTACAGAATGAAGAGAGCAGAACAAGGAGAATAAAATTATGCCCTAACAATAACACTGTAACTTTTGAAAGATTTAAGAGTCCTGGCAATGAGATGACCAACCTCCATTCCAGAGAGCCAACATTGTAGTGAGCCATCCAGGTTGAAAGAGATGCGAGAAGCTTCAGAGGCAGAATGAGCCTCCTGCTTTTGGATGTAGCCAATGTGGGAGTTTGTTTTTCTTGACTCTGCATATTCATTACAAGGATTTTATATTTATTTTTTCTTTCCCTTCAATGGTGGGAGAAGAGGCAGGAGGGAGAGAAAACAAATGCTTGTGGATTAAAACAAAAACAAAGATCCCTCTACAACATACATGGCAAATGGTCATTGAGTCTTTGAAGATTTCCATTAGGAAGGAACCTACCACCTCCTAAAGCATCAATTTCACTTTTGGACAGTTTTGATCGTTAGGATGTTTTTCCTTACATCAGTCCTAGGTTTTTCTCTTTGCAGCTTCTGCCAAATGTTATTAGTTCAAACACAGATTCTTTTGCATTTCTTTTTAACCCCAGAGCTTTGCACAGTGGCTGGCACATAGTAGGCACTTAATAAATGCTTGTTGATTGACCGAATGACCTGTAACCCTTTGCACAGAACCCAAGAAATCACAGAGATGAAGAAGTATCATTCCTATGTATTCTGTCCTGAGGAGAGAGGAAAGAAAGGGAGCATCATGTGGGCATACCTATTTCAGAAGGAAATGATGACCGACAAATGAAACTTCTATTAGATCCGTCTTCAAGAGTCTGTTCCCCAAAAGATGGCATGTGACCTTGCAGAACGTTATTAGCACATGCAAGGTAGCTGCTGCGATCAGATTAAATGCTGCTGTGGAACAGGATTATAAAAAGGTGGAATTTATGTCATGTTTTGCCTACATCATAATAGCATCTGCCATTCCTATAGTGTTTTCTGGTTCACAAACCATTTTCCCCAAAACCGTGTGAAGTTGGTAGTTCCAGTATTATATTCTCATTTTACAGATAAAGAAATAGGCTCAGAGATACAAGATAACTTGCTTCTGGTCAAATAGCTAGTAAGTGTGAGAGTGAGGACTTAGAACCAGGTCTCCTGCCTCCCAGGTCTAGTGTTTTTCTGCTACCACATGGTACCTCTCAGATCTTATTTGATCCTCATCTCACCTTTTGTGAGGAAAGGAGTACAAGTATTAGTTTGCTTTTATAGATGAAGAAACAGAGGCTAAGAAAAACTTTTTTTCTTTTTTTATAGTATTTTTTTCCAATTACATGTAAAGACAGTTTTTTAGCATTCATTTAAAAAAATTTTGAGCTCCAATTTTTTCTCCCTCTTTCCCTCCTTCCTCTCCCCTATCCCTAGAACAGTAAGCAATTTGATATAGGTTATATATGTGCAATCATGTAAAACATATTTCCATATTAGCCATGTTGTGAAAGAAGAAACAGACCAAAAGGAAAACAACCATAAAAAATAAAAAGTAAGAATAGTATGCTTCTATCTGCATTCAGAGATGATCAGTTCTTTATTTGGATGTGGATAGCCTTTTCCATCATGAGTCCTTTGGAATTGTCTTGGATCATTGTATTGCTGAGAAGAGCTAAGTCACTCATGGTTTATCATCACACAGTGTTGCTGTTACTATGTACAATGTTCTCCTAGTTCTACTCACTTCACTTTGTATCAGTTCATGTAAGTCTTTCAGGTTTTTCAGAAAAATTAAATTAAAGAAGCTACAGGTTGTATTATAAAGGCCGAACCTGAATTTGAAGGGCATGGTTCTGAATTGCAACTCTGCTCCTACCTCTGTGACTTTGGGCAAATTGTTTGCCTTTTCTAGGACTCTGTTTCCTACAGTTACCTGTAAGGTGAAAACATTGGACTAGGTTCTCTTCCAGCTCAGCTCTATGCCTAGTAACAGGCAGGGCTAAAACTTGAAATTGGCTATTTTGACTCTCTGAATTTAGACCTGTTTCCACAACAGGAGACTGCCTTGTCAAAGCTTTTGAATAGCTTTGTTCAGTCACTTGTTGGACTTGCAAACAAATGGGAAACACAGGATCGAAAAGATTCTGGAGGAAACTGAGGCCAAAGATGTGAGGCCCAAGGTGACTGATCCCGGGTCATCAGTGCCAATGGGTCATGCTCTGCCACTAGACTTTGAGGATTTAGCTTCCAATGAGAAAGAAAGCACAGTGAGGAGAAACTGAGGCTATCTTTAGCTTAATCAAAAAATGGTGTTTGTAAACCCATGAGTATATGCATGCATTTGAGTACATGTGTATGTGCACCTGAGCTCTTGACTTGACATAATCTTGGCTCTTGGCATCCTGAGCTGCCTGGCCCTCCACATATCTCATAGGTGAAGCTGCATCTGTGGCAGCATTGCAAGAGAGCCAGTGAAAAATGCTTTGTTATATTCACCCTGTCGCCCTTGGCTCCAAGAAATTGCTTCCTAAATCATGGTAGAGTTATAGTGTCCCTAGCAAAACCCAAACCACTCTCCATGCCTCAGAAAGCACAGGGATATTAATCAGATGTGTGAGCATTGCAGAAGGAACTTTTTTTTAAACAAACAGGAAAACAAGCAAGTAAGCGATGAAAAAAAGAACACAGCCTCTGGTGTGCTCAGCCCAGAGCAGAGTGCACATCGGGAACTGAGCCCAGATCAGAATATCTTCACTCTTTCACAGATACGCTGATAGAGGCACCCGTTGTCTCTGAACACTTTCAACCCATATAGGCTTTATGGCAAAAAATGATAGTGAACACCTGCCGCATAGCAATGTTCTCTTTCCAGCACAGCTGAATGGGAGCAGTGGGGGTGATCCTTCATCTTAAGCAGGATTCTTGGAAGACACCTATACCTCAGGCAGATCCTTAAATCAAATTCAGCTGGGATCTGGCAGGATTTGCTGGAAAGAAGGCAGGTATGAGCATCTCACAAATATTCCCAGAGAGTGCCCCCGCCTGACTAAAGGCAGAAGAGAGATGATTATTAACCTTCCCCCCCCCCAAATTATTGTTCCAAGCAGCCATCTGACAACTGAAGCCATCTGTGGAAAGTCCTGCTATGTATAAGGCAACACAATAAGGATGCTAATAACTCATGGGATCATAAGGATTTAGAGCTGAAAACCTGGACATCATCTCGTAAAACCTCTTCACTTGATACAGGAGGAAACTGAGACCCAAAGTCAGACCGGCACTTCTATAGCACTTTTACAAAATGCTTTACTTACAACCAACCTGTGAGGTAGGTAATGTATAATTGTTGTTCAGTTGTGTCCAACTCTATGTGACCTCTGTGAACAATGGGGTTTTCTTAGCAAAGATACTGGAGTGGTTTGCCAGTTCCTTCTCCAGTGTGTCCCTATTTTGCAGATAAGGAACTAAGGCAAATAGTGGTTAAGTAACTTGCCCAGGGTCACACAGCTAGTAAGTATGCAAGGCCAGATTTGAACTCAGATTTTCCGGACTCCAGGCCTGGTGCTTTATGCACTGTACCATCTAGCTGCCCCCCAATGTATTATTACCCCATTTTAATATAAGAGGAATGAGGGCAGCTAGGTGGTGCAGTGGATAGAGTACCGGCCCTGAAGTCAGGAGGACCTGAGTTCAAATCCGGCCTCAGACCAAACACTTGACACTTACTAGCTGTGTGACCCTGGGCAAGTCACTTAACCCCAATTGCCTAAAAATAAAAAAAAAAGAAAAAGAAAAAATATAAGAGGAATGCTGAGATATAGATTATAACAATGAGCATTATTATTATGATGATAATAGCTAGCATTTTTATATAACACAAAGGTTTGCAAAGCGCTTTACAAATATTACCTCATTTGATTCTCAAAACAACCCCGGGAGGTAGGTGCTATTATTATCCCCATTTTACAGATGAGTAAATGGAGGCAAATAAAGGTTAAATGACTTGCCCAGGGTGACACAGCTAGTGTCTGAGGCAGAATTTGAATTCAACTCTTCCTGACTCCAAGTCCAGTGCTTCAGCCACTGCATCACCTAGCTTTTCCCTACTTCATGTGTTTTAACCCTTTGTCCCCTATGCCTGCGATTTTCTCCTTCCTTATTCCCGTCTCTGCTTTCCGGCGTCCTTCAGGTCCTAGCTAGAATCCCATCTTCTTTAAGAAGTCTTTCTAGACCCCCTTTAATGTTAGTAGTGTCTTCCCTCTGAGATCATTCCCAATTTATTTGGAATATCTATATCTATATATCTATATCTGTATCTATATCTATATCTATATCTATACACACACACACATATATGTATGTATGTATATGTGTATATAAAATGCACATATGCATATATCTATTGTATATATATACACCCCTATGTACTTACACATTATTATATCTATTTATCGCTTTTGTTTGTTTATGTTTGTGTGTAGTTGTTCTGCACATTGTCTGCTCCTATGAGCTCCTAAGCACAGGGACTGTTTTTTGCCCTTCTTTGTATCCCTAGCGCTTAGCACGATGCCTGCATATGGTAGTCCCTTAATAAATACTTGTTGACTTGACTGAGACACACACATAACTGAAATGATTTGTTTCCAGTCACACAGCTAGGAAGCAATGGTGCTAGAAACAAAACCCAAGTCTTCTAACTCCAAGCCCAAGGATCTTTCCACTAAACCATGCTGCCATGGAAAGATACAGAGGACATGCTGGCTAAAATCCATTGTAAAAACATCACTTTGGGGGCTTCTACTGAAATTTTTGCACAGAGAATATTGCCTGAAATTTGTGAGCTATAGACTAGAGGATTTGGACCTGTCTTTGTTACATGGAATTTTTTTTTCTTCATGATTTTGGCTAGAATGAGATTTTGCCTGTCTTAGCCATAATCCATACATACCAGACAACACGTTAATAGGCAAAAGAGAAATGGGAGAAGCATAAATAAATACTGTATTGATAAATGTTTTTAACCATACTTATGATTTCATTGGACAAGGGATCTCCTGGTAGGGAACTTTCTCTATCAGTATAGGCTGGCACATTCTCTTCAATTCCTAGTCTTAGAGCAATGTTTTTCAAACTTTTTAAAATTCATGGCATAATATTCTTTGCTAGGAGGAATTTGAGCACAATGAATGTTTAAGTTTCAGACCCATGACCTAGGCCTTGGGATTCCATTGCCTTTTCTTCCCCTCTGCCACCCTCTTCTTTCTTTATTTCCTTAAGACTGAAAATGGAGGAGGAAGCTTTGAGTTTCCATGATAGAACCATTACTGTGACCTTTACCTAGGCTAAGACCAGGAGAACAGGAGGCAAACTGCTGCTGGGGGGAGGGGCTGGGGAAAGTGGGATGTCAGGAGAAGGAACATTATTGGACTAAGGAGGGGAAATGGGCCTTCCTTAGTGTCTAGAGAAACTCACAGCACAGAAGCATGCCTGGAATACCCATAAACCCCTTTCATAGGGACTTGCCTGGCACAGTGAGATGAATTGACTTGCCAAGGGGCAAGTAGGTGATAGAGGTGTGACTTGAACCCAGGTCTTCCTGACTCCAGGGCCAATTCGCCATCAGCTGTGACATTCTGCCTTTCAAATTATGTCACTGATAACTCATAACTAATATCAGTCTCATGTCACTTCATTCAGTCGTTTTCAGTCATGTCTGACCCTTCATGACCCCATTTGGGGTTTTCTTGGCAAAGATACTGGAGCGGTTTGCTATTTCCTTCTCCAGCTCATTTTACTGATGAGGACACTAAGGTAAACAGGGTTAAGTGACTTCACCAGGGTCACACAGCTAGTCCAAGGTTGTATTTGAACTCAGGAAGTTGAGTCTTCCTGACTCCAGGCCTGGTGGTCTCTCCATTGCACCACATAGCTGCCCTAATGTCATTAATAATGTTTGATTATCAGTGATCAATGTTACATGTTTAAGTTCTAGGAGTCAGTGGCTATTTCTTCTTCTGTAAAATGAGGGAGTCATACTCAGGTGATCTCATCACTTAAAAGAACTTAAATGATCTCTAGGTTCACATTTAGTGACAAATCCTATGATCCAGTATAATAATATTGTTACAATGTTGCCTATACTAGACAATAGTTGGGCTCTCAAGATAAGTCAATAGGCATTTATTAAGAGCCTACTGTGTGCTAAGCTCTGGGGATACAAAGAAAGGCAAAAGACAGTTTCTGTCCTTGAGAATCTCAGTCTAATAAGGGAGACTATACAAACAACTGTGCATAAACAAGATATATGCGAGATAAATTAGTGACAATATCAAAAGGGAGGCATTAATATCAAGAGGGATTGGGATTGGCTAATACCCAGTTCAAGCAAATATCTAAAAAAAAACCCTGTACTTTTCAGCATTTTTACTAATGGCTTGGATGAAGATGTAAATGGCATCTTAATCAAATTTGTAGGTGATACTAAATTGAGAGGGGTAGCTAACACATTGGGATGGCAGAACTGAGATCCCACAAATCATTAAGAGGCTAAAATTATAGGCCAAATATAATGCCACAAAATTTAATAGAAATGAATTCAAATTCTTTTATGAGAGTTCAAAAATCAACCGCATAGATACAAGAAGGGGGTTGCAGTTTGACAAAAATGTATTCAAAAAAGACCTAGTAACTCCTCTCACAGGTAAGCCCAGATAGGCCTCAGAATGGTTCCTTGGACAGGCAGCACACTTGACCTTGGGATTATTGGTTAGTGTTCTTAATGCCAAGAAATTTAGGACACTCAATTCAATTCAACAAAATACTTAAGTATTTATTATGTAACAAGGCATTGTGCTAAGCTTATGGGGTACTGTACTTGATATATGTGACCCCTGAGGTCATGATTACTCTTCTGAGGGGAGAGGAAGTAAGAACAGTGTCCCAACAAAGCAGAAATATTTCATGGAGAAGGTACCTGCAACTTTGCATGGCTACACTTATGGTTCTGACCTGGTCTTCCTTTCTCCTCTCTAGCACTCATGCTCTGGCGGATGATAGAGTCATAGGTGAAATCATCTGAAGGCCAAAACTGCAGCAAAAGCCCTGTTTCTCTGTGCTTTAATGTGCTGGCCTCTGGTAGTTTAGTGCAGGAGAAAAGCTGGTGCCCTCATCAGGGCAATAGACTATCTACCCTCACTGACAGCCAGCTGTACCACTTTCCCTTTGTATTAGATTTCTGTTGCATTTAAAGTATTAGTGGCTTGAGCTTGCCAACTAAACTTGTCCTCAGATATGGTGTTTAGAACTGGACAAAAACACTCCAGGTGGGGGTCTGCTCAGAGAAAAGTACCACAGAACTGTGACTCCGGACACCAAGTTTCTATTGAGGGAGCCTAAGATGGCATCAGCATTCTTGGCACAGTGGATAGAGCACTGGGACTGGAATCAGATGAGTTCCAATCCAGCCTCAGACACTTACCAGCTATGTGTGACCCTGGGCAAGTCATTTCACCTCTGTTTACCTCCATTTCCGCAACTATAAAATGGGGATAATACCAGCACCTACCTCCCAGGGTTCTTGTGAGCATCAAAGGATATAATATTTGTAAAGCATGCTGCACAGTGCCTGGCACATGGTGGGTGACTAATAATCATTTCCTTTCTTCTTATTACCATAGTGGACTACAAATTCATTGCAGCAGCAGGGTGATGTGGGAGCCAAAAAGGTAAATGCCACTGTGGGCTCCATGAATAGAAGCTCGGTGTCCAGAGCAATGACTCTGCTGTCCTTTGCCTTGAGCATCCCACATCTGGAGTGGTTTTGTCCAGCTCTGGGCACCACACTGAAGGACAAATTTAACTGGCAAGCCTAAGACTGGACAGAAAAGGGTGAACCAGGATGATCAAAGTAAACAAAACTGTGCCTTTCAAGGGTCATTTGAGGGCAGTGAGGACCAGAAGACTTAGGGAGACATGATTGTTGTCTTTAATATTCTAAGGGTTATCAAACAGAAGAGGGTTTGGACCTTTTCTACTTTGATTCCCCAAGTTCAAAACTAGGAGAAATAGGTGAAAGATACAAGGGAGGGAGATTTTTGCTCAATATGGAGGAACTATTCCTAAGAATGAGAACTGGCCAAATAGAGTTTAGGTCATCTTGTCAGGGTGTAGGTTCCCCCTGTTGTGGGGCCACTTGTGGCCCTCTAGGCCTTCAAGTGTGGCCCTTTGATGGAATCCTTTGGATTTTGGTTTGGATTGGATTCAAAGGGCTGCACTTGAGGACTTAGAGGGCCACATGTGGCCTTGAAGCCACAGTTCCCCACCCCTGAT